GAACAAAACTGCCCCATAGCGTTTCCAAGGCTATAAATCTTTAAAGAAGCAGACTGCCACAGAGTGGCTGGTGGGTTTGAACTGCTGACCTTTCTGTAGCAGCTGAGTGCTGAACCACTGTACCAGAGCTCCTTAAGTCAAGACACAAAACGATAATTACATGACTCTACTTTTATTAAATATTTTGTTGTTGTTGTTGTTTGTTGTCATATGCCCTCAGGTCGGACCCAACTCATAGCGATCCCTCCTTGGGTTTCCGAGGCAATATCACTGCGGAAGTAGATTGCCTCATCTTTCTTCCGAGGAGTGGCTGGTGAGTTTGAACCGCCAGCCTTCTGGTTAGCAGTCAAGTGCCTTAGGCACTATGCTACCAGAGCTCCCATGAAATATCTAGAACAGGTAAATACAGAAACCAACATTTATTACTGGTTACTAGGAGCTCTGGTGGCATAGGCCTAAGGCATTTGACTTCTAACCAGAAAGCTGATGATTCAAACCCACCAGTCACTCCTCGGAAGGAAGGTTGGGCAATCTACTTCCACAGTGATACTGCCTCAGAAACCCAAGAAGGGGTCAGTATGAGTCGGATCCGACTCCATGCCAGTGAGTTTGGTTTTTGGTAGAGGCTAGGAGTGGGAAATATGGGGTTATTGTTTAAGGAGTACTGAGTTTCTGTTTAGCAACTGAAAAATATCTGAAAACGGATAAGACTACCACAATAAAGCATGTATCTTCCTTCTGCTAAGACCCCCAATACAATGTTGAATATAAGCAGGGGACATCCTTGTCTTCTTCCTGATTTTAATGGGAATGTGTTGAAATATTCATTAAGACTATTTACTGTATCCGTCTAGAACCTTTATCAGGTTTTTAGACTATAAAGGAACTCACTTTGTGGAGAAAGAATGATACCAATTCTCTGGTATTTGTTAGGACTATGCTCTATGGCTTACTAAATGGTCAAAACAAAAGTGTTCCATGTGTGCTTTGAAAAAAATATTCTCTGATTTTTGAGAGTATTTTCTAAATATTGAGCCATAACTTCATAAAAATCAAGATGTTAATATTCTATCTTTCCAAGTATTATTTGCTTTTCCCATCATTAACTGAAAGAGTAGTGAGCAATTCCTCCATATAATGGAGATTTGTCAAATTTTCTCTATAGTTACATTAATTTTTGCTTTATTTTATTTTGTGGCTAATTTATTAGGTTTTAAAATTTTCTTTTGGATCTTTGGAATCTGAGTTGAATCTTTTGTCATTAAAAACTGACTTTCTCTACACCTGATAATGCGTCTTGCTTTAAAATATATTTTGTTTTGCATAAATATGGCTTATCTTCCTTCAGGAAGCATTTGCCTGGTTACTATTTTCTCATTTTTAATTTAAACTTTTCTTACCTATTTTGTTTAGGTAGGTCTTTAAAGCAGCAGAAAGTTCTTTTTAAATCCAGTATGAAAATGTGTCCTGACCTGGCAAGTTTAGTCTACCAGCATTTATTTTTATTATAGTTATGTTTTTACCACCTTCCATTTTTATTTCTATTCCTCCATCCCTACCTTTTTACGTATACATTCTGTGTGTGTGTGTGTGTAATATATGTAGCGTTGGATAGGTCTGGTTTAGGTTTTTTTTTCCTTCTGGTTTGGAACTCACACACCCTGACTCTATTCTTTGAGTTCTTACCTTTGAAGTTTCATCACATACCATTAACTTCAGTTAAAGTAACACAGTATCTTAGCGGTGTTTTAGTTTCCTAGTGCTGCTGTAACAGAAATAGCAGAAGTGGGTGGCTGTAATTAACAGAAATTTTTTTCCCTCACAGTTTAAAAAAAGCTAATTGTCTGAATTCAGGGTGCTGGCTCTAGGGGAAGGTTTCTGTCTGTCAGCTCTGGGCAAAGGTGCTTGTCTCTTTCACCTTTTTTTCCTGGGTTCCTTGGTGATCTCCAAGTGAGATCAATCTTTCTCCATTTGCACTTCTTTCTCTGTGCCAAGTCAGCTTTCTATATCTCAAAGGTGACTGGTTTAAAATATACCCTATACTGATATGGTCTCATTAATTAACAATGAAGGCCCTATTCCCAAATGGGGAGCTCTGGTGACATAGTGCCTAAGGCATTTGACTGCTAACCAGAAGGTTGGTGGTTCAAACCCACCAGCCACTCCTTGGAAGGAAGATTAGGCAATCTACTTTCGTAGAGATACTGCCTCGGAAAGCCAAGGAGAAGTCACTAAGAGTCAAATAGACTTGATGGACTTTTTTTTTTTTTTTTTTTAATTCCCAAATGGGATTACATTCATGAGTGTAGGGGTTAGGATTTACAACATCTATTTTGGAGGATACAATTCAATCCTTAACAGCAGGTAAAGAGGACCTTTAATTGTCATAATCTCCCTCCTGACTTATATGCCACTATTGCCCAGTTCTTTAGTTCTATCTTTTTATCAAGTGCAAAAAGACATTATTATCTTATACTGACACTGTTCATTTAGACTTACACGTTTTTTTTTTCCAAAAAATTATTTTCCTTTCCTGAAGTTCATACTTTAGAAACTCCCTCACGGTTTTTATTATTGGAAAATGTTGTAACATTTCAAGAGCAGAGAAGTTTTTACAGAGGTATATAATTCTAGGTGGAAACTTGTTTTCTCTCAGCACTTTAAAGCAATTATTCTCCTGTCCTCTGTCTCTCACTATGCTACTGAGAAATATGTTGGCCCCCAAACCTACCTTATCTGTCTGCATAGGAACCCAACTTTCTCTGGTTTGCCTATTGTCATTGTTCCCATCTCTGGTTTTGCCTCATGGTTTCATTCCTTTGGGGGGAGTATCTCTCATTTCTTCTAAACCTTTCTAGAGTACTTTTTTAAAACGTAGAATGCAGCTGTTTTAAGTAGAAGAAGCCTCCAGAGTATATAGCCTGCCCTATGGCTGGAAGCAACATGAAACAGTTTTCTTTACTGCAAAGATCTGAAGTTTTTAATATCCTAGGCTAAATTAAAACCATCTAAGGGGGAATATGGTATCCAACATTGCCCAAAATTATTTGATCAGAGCTTCTCACAAGGAAAGTAGCCTTCCACAAAATACAATTTGAAAAAATCCTGCTCTAAAGTCTTATTAAAATAATTTGCTTCAGGTATATTGTACCCTTTTGGCTACTGGCTATACCTTTGTAGTTTTTTTCAATTAATGGTTGCTAAATCCATTATTCCAATTTTCAGCAAATTACAGGATTCTAAGCCTAGAAATACTATTTCTTTAAAATCATAAATGTCTCTACTTTTCAGAAGCTTACTAAAGTATTTTAGTTTAAATCTTGATAATTCATATCCAATAGTTTTAACTCTTCTACATAATCTTACATGTGTAAATACAGAGAATACAAAATAAAATGAAACGCTGATTTTCTTTTCTACTATTCAGCTTTAAAATCTAAAGAGTGAAAAAACAATTTGAAATGCTTGGTTACAACTGCATTGTGTGTGTGTTGTGTGTGTGTTTGTCTGAAAGATAAGGTATTTACAGACTAATCGGAAATTTTGGAATGTTTAAAAAGAAAAAAAAAATCTACAGTAGCCCTTCCTATGGGACAAAATCTCTAAGGGCAAAATAACTTATGGACTATTCTCATAAGTAAAGAGCTCTGGTGGCACAGTGCATAGGGCAATTGACTGCTAACCAGAAGGGTAGCAGTTCCAACCCAGCCACTCCACAGAAGGAAGATGGGACAATCTACTTCTGCAAAGATTTATTTGTCTTGGAAACCTAACAGGGGTCACTATGAGTTGGAATCAACTTAATGGCAGTGGGTTTTTATTCTTGTAAGTAGTAGTTCCTAAGGACTTAGATACTGTATTATCACCACTATGTGACTAAGTACTTAGCTGTGAGGCCCCTACTTTTACAGTTCATTACCACAGTCCAAGGTGATATATATAAGCAGATTTTCATCATAAATTCATGAGCTACTCCCTCTATAATTCTGAAATTTCTTATACTCCACTTTGTCCCTTTACCATTCTCTACTCCCAATCACACACCTGAAACAATTATTACTCAAAATTGTATAAACAGAAGCTATGATGAGAGAATTCACATAAGAATTAACCAATTAATTACCTAATCAATTAAACAACATATGGAAAGATTTTTGTCCTCAGTTTTCCAAGTAAGATACATTTTTTAAATGAGAATTTTTTTATCAAAAGGAGTTTTATTGCTAACTATATAATTATGTTGCTCTTTTTAATTATGTAGCTTGATAACCCCATGCTAGCAAGATTGTGTGCAATTTGAAATAATTTGGCAATATAATTAATAATTTTTAAGATGCTTACTCTTTTTTTAATGTAGTATTTGCATTATAGAGCCTTAATCCTAAGGAATTAAATTAAAAAGGAAAATTTTCATATAAAGATATAAGTGAAAATGTCCCTTTTTTAACTGCAAAAAAATTTAGGAGATAAAAGAAAAGGGAGATTACATAAAATTACATATCCACTCAATAATACGTTGCCATTAAGAAGATACTTACATTGATTATATAATAATATGGCAAATTATGATAAGTGGAGGGGAAAAAAGCAAGATATAAAATTGTATATGCTAAAAGATTACAAGTATATTTCAAAAGAGAGTAAAAAGAAATATGGCAAAATATTAACATGAGAAAAGGGATGAGATTTTCTCTTTGTCTTCTTCCCAAAGAATTTTAAAAGTTTTTCCATGGTATGAATGTACTGTTTCTGAAAACTGGAAAGTGTTAATTAATCAATGTCTTGCTGATACCTTACCCACCACTTCTTTTTCTTTTTTTCCCTTTATAGCAAAGTGTCCCTTTTCCCTCTCAACTTTGACAAAACCAAAGTAAAGCTTTTTTTTTTTTTTTTTTAAATAGTTCCTACTGTTAATTGGAAGAGGCACATTCCTCTAGTATCTATTCAGTTGGTTAGCTTCTAAACACATCACCCTAAAGAAGGGAACAGATAAATTTTACCTTATTTCCTTCTTCTTTGAATTGTGGATTAATTATTTTTACAAATGAATAGAACAACTGACGAATTCTGGAATCTCCAATAAATGCAATATGTTTATCTATGAGGCAGCTCTTTGCTTCACTGAAACCAACAAAGAAACCTTCATTAAAATAAATAAAATCAGCAATACTGGCATTTCAAAAAACGTAACTCAATGGAGAAAGTTGAACAGGTTTGGTATTTTGCACTGTTATTCTGAAGGACACAACTCAATCCACAGCAGCGGGTAAAGAGGACCCAGTAACGTTGCCTTAGAAAGAGGTGACCAGGTTTACTTAACTTACAAATTGATGAATTACCAACTAACTTTCAATCGCGGTTTGAAACATAACAAATAACAATCCCGGTTTATTTATTGTTTAAATACACTCTAACTGTATTTAGTGATTGATATACATTATCTCCCTTAAGCCTCAGAATAACTCTGTTGTTGTTGTTGTTATGTGCCGTCAAGTCACATCCGACTCATAGCAACCCTTCCTTGGGTTTCCGAGGAAGTATCACTATGGAAGTAGACTGCCCATCTTCCTTCCAAGGAGTGGCTAGTGGGTTTGAACCGCCAGCCTTCTGGTTAGCAGTGAAGTGCCTTAGGCACTACGCTACCAGAGCTCCCCAGAATAACTCTATGAGTAGGTATTCATGTTCCAGTGCAAAAATTTTTAGCTTAAGGGCTACTGCTTTTGGGATAGTTACCTCTCACTAGAGATAAAGTTGCTTGACCAAAACTCTTTCCATAAAGCTACTGGGTAGGAGCTTTCATCTGGAATCAGCCCCAGCCCTATTCTCAGTTAGCAAGTTTCTAGCCCCAGCTAGAGACGTACTCAACTTGCTTCACCAACTCCTGATGTTATTGTTAGTTGCCCTAAGTGGGAGTCCACTCAGGGAAACCCCACATGTGCAGAGTAGAACTCCATAGGGTTTCCAAGGCGGTGACCATTCAGAAACAGACTGCCAGGCCTGTCTTCTGAGATGCCTCTGGGTGGGTTCAAATCAATAACCTTTCAACTACTAGTCAAGTGCTTAACTATCTGTTGTTGTTGTTGTTATGTGCTGTCGAGTCGGACCCGACTCATAGTGACCCCTCCTTGGGTTTCCAAGGCAGTATCACTACGGAAGTAGATTGCCCCATCTTCCTCCAAGGAGTGGCTGGTGGGTTTGAACCACCAGCCTTCTGGTTAGCAGTCAGGTGCCTTAGGCACTACGCTACCAGAGAGCCACCCACAATTAAGACTTATCTTAGAAAAAAAAAAAAACAACAATTAAACTGAGAAACCTTACCTGATTTTGTATTTATGCATCATACAACTGTGAGGTTGCCAAACTTTCTCTCCAAGAAATCTGCCACTTGAGAGAAGATATTCGCAGGAATCATTACCTGTAATAAACACAACAGTGTGGTAAACAATATTTACGTTCTTATTTGTTGGTTATCTTGGCCCCAGGAGCCCTGGTGGCAAAGTGGATAAGCATTTGGCTACTAATCAAGAAGTTAGTGGTTTGAAGCCACCAACCACTTAGCAGGGAAAAGATGTAGCAGTCTGCTTTTGTAAAGATTATAGCCTTGGCAACCCTGTAGGCAGTTTTACTCTGTCCAACAGGGTTGCTATGAGTCAGGATCGGTACAATGGCAATGGATTTATCTTGACGCTCCTTAAGTACACAGGATACAAAGTTCTCCATGCTTCACTATAACTTTCAGGTGCATATTACCTATTCATGAGAAGTGTAGTAAATATCAATACACTAATACTTAAAAGGACAAGAGCCAGTAATGATATATGATTTATCCTGAGAGACTCCTAACTTCCTAAATGCCATGATCAGAGCTTTGGCACTTCCTTCTGCCTCAGGTTTTCTTTCCAGGGATGTTATCCCAACCTCAAACTAATCTTAACATCTGCTTTTTCCTCCTACTTCTAGTTTGGTGGGGAGCTCTGGTGGTATAGTGTCTAAGGCATCTGACTGCTAACCAGAAGGCTGGCGGTGCAAACCTACCAACCACTCCTCAGAAAAGATAGGGTAATCTACTTCCACAGTGATACCACCTTGCAAAGCCAAGAAGAGGTCGCTATGAGTCAGATACAACTTGACAGCACTGAGTTTGGTTTTTGAATTTTCTAGTTTATGAAGAAAAGTGTAAGGGATAAAAAGAAGGCATTTTTGGAAATAACTTGCAATTCAACTATTATACTTAGTGTCTTAGCATAGCTGGAGATCTAGGAAACACTAAAAATGTTTTAAACTCACTCCCTGATTTTCAGAACTTCCCTGTGAGGAAGTATGCTACTCCTATTTTGTAAATGTGGAAAGAGAAAGAAATATATTAAAGAACCTCTTAAAAAGTTAAAAAAATTTCATTCTTTTACAATTTTACAAAGATAGCATTTAAACTGGTTAGCCACAAAGTGGCTGAAGACATTATCATTATCAATAGTAAAGACAGATTTCACAATTATTAATACCAGCCCTCTCTACTTCTCTTGATATTGCTTGCCTTCCTTTAGGATGGTCAACTCATCCCAGTTTGGTCAGGACTTTCAAGGTTTTAAAATACAAAGATCTATATCTGAGAAACTACTCAGTAAACTAGAGTAAGTGGTTACTCTATTTTCTTTGGCCACTTTACTGTACATTAGCCAAATGACATAACCAAAGGATTAACTCATCTTCTCCCTCATCCATTTGACATATTTGTATTTTTAATATTTCTGAATTCTTGTTTTAACTCCCCTGATGGCACAGTGGTTAAATGCTTGACTGCTAACTGAAAGGTCAGCGGTTCAAACCCACCAGCCGCTCCATGGGAGAAAGAATTAGCAGTCCGCTTCTGTAGAGATTATAGCTTTGGAAACGCTACAAGGCAGTTCTTCTCTAGTCTATAGGGTCACTGTAAGTAGAAACCAACTCAATGACAATGGGTATTGTTTAATTTCTAGTTCTCTTTTAACAGTCACTAAACATCAAGCTACATTTATTTTACAATTAGTTAACCAAAATCAAACTCACTGCCATCAAGTTGATTATGACTCACAGAGACCCCCATTGCGTTTCCAAGGCTGTAAATCTTTACAGAAGCAGACAATGACCTCTTTCTTCTGTAAAGCAGGTGGTGGGTTTGAACCACTGACCTTTTGGTTAGCAGCCAAATGCTTTTACCTCTCCACCACCAGAGCTCCTTACAATTAGTTAAGGTAAGGATAAAGAATCTGATAAGAGGAATATCACAGAACAAAAGTGGCACTGAACCATTTAGACTAGGGATAGGGAAGACCCAAAAATATTTAAAGTAGGAGAACACATCTCTTTTTCTCAATCCATTTATTCACTTATCTGGACAGAATACACAAAAGGTGCTACAAATGCAAGACAGATATGTATACATATCGAAAGTATGGCTGCTCTGAGAAAGAACATGAAGAGAAAGTGAAAATACTGCATTAAAATACTATTGTTGGTGGAAAACAGGATAAGGTAAGTAGGATATAAATTATTTTATTTTATAATAATATATATAATATGAGGGTTTTCTTTTGTATTTCAAAGATTTTTAATAACGTATCTCTAAGTAAACTAAAGAAGCTCTGGTGACATAGTGCCTAAGGCATTTGACTGCTAACCAGAAGGCTGGCGTTCAAACCCACCTGCCACTCGTCAGATGGAAGGTTGGGCAATCTACTTCTGTAGTGATACTGCCTCGAAAACCCAAGGAGGGGTCGCTATGAGTCGTATCATTCCACTGCAGTGAGTTTGGTTTTTTAAGTAAACTAAATAATTCATTCTTAATTCTTTCCAATTACTAAAAACTAATTCTAGTGCTAAAAAAAAAAAAAAAAAATTAAGCTACATAAATAACCCAAGAGGAGAAAGGACCACAGGAACACATAATCAAAATATTTTCCTAAAAATAGCACTCCTGCTACATTCTTTTATAATGGTCATTAAGTAAAATTCTATTAAAAATACAGTATATTGTTTATAGTTAGGATGAAAATTCCGTATTTATAGCATTTCTACCTCCTGAAAAACATTAAACCACGAGAAAAATTAGTAAGTCTATTTTATAAAAAAGTTCTAAGAGGTTGTAAACAACTGTGTAGGAACTCTGTGGGGTTTTTTCCCCTCCTTTCCTCCTTCTCTTCTCTTTCTCCATTCTTCTTTTTTTTTTGGAAGGGAGGTAGGAATTACGTTCCCCAAAGGTATGTGGTATAAATTCTAACCTTTATGTCTGAGGTTATAATCCTACCTGGGAAACAGTTGTCCCTGTTATGTTAATGAGACAGGATTAGTTTCTTTTGAGATATGGAAGATGAAACAAGCTATCAGAAAGAAGCAGAGATGGGGGAAGAGAGTTGCCAACCCAGAAGCAGAAACTCAAGAGACAAGAACGTCCTCCAGAGTCAACAGAGAAAAAGCTCTCCCCTAAAGCCAGCACTCGGATTTGGCCTTCTACCCTCACACAGTGGTGCAGTGCCTAAGGCATCTGACTGCTAACCAGAAGGCTGGCGGCTCACATCCAAGGAAGACTGGGCAATCTACCTCTGTAGAGCTACTGCCTTGCAAATCCTCCGCTTTGAGTTGGGATTGACTCAACAGCAGTGGGAAAGCCACCCACTTGTGGTATCTGTTATAGCAGCACTAGAGAACTAAGACAGGGGTGTTGGGCTTGTTATTTGATTATTACTATGATTATTTTAATCAAAGCCTAAACAGAACATACACCTTGAACAATCATCAGGATCCTAGAATTATGCTGTTATGCATCTATATGGGTTATCAATATGATTTTGTGGAGACAGACTTTCCAAACCAACATCTTACAATAACCAGTCTTTTCTCCACCAGAAAATGTGTATTAAAATGTAAATTTCTGCTGCTGCATCTCAGTATTACTACCTATTCATGGATTCATTTGTTTGGCTTTTAGAAAACAACAGCTGCAACTGACAACGCCTTATTAGAAGCACCCATCATGAGGCATCATCCAGTCGATTCTAAGTCATGGTGACACCGTGTGTCAGACTAGAACTGGGCTCCACGGGCTTTTCTATAGCTGACTTTTTGGCAGTAGATTGCCAGGTCTTTCTTTCCAGGCTGGGTAGACTCAGATTGTCAATCATTCCGTTAGCAGCTGAGTGCTTAACCAGGGACTCTATATTATTAAAACACCGTATTAAAAACAGGTTTGATGTTACCACTTACCAAAAATTGTGATAAACAGGGTATTCTTAGAGATGAATGGTCTTTCCATAGAAGAAAGTCCTAATCTGCTAGTGAATGTTAGTGTGATAAAGATTCTTCTTAAGATATTCCAGAATCCAAGCTGTTTTTTTTGTTTTGTTTTGTTTTGTTTTTTTCCCAAGTCTTATATCTGAATTTAATGATTCTGTACCTTGTAAGTTAGGGTCCAGTCAGAGAAGAGAAACACCACCAGTATTTTATCAGTGAAAATTTAATCTAAAGAATTGTTAGCAAAATAAAAGAACTGTTAACTAGACAACTGAAAAGACAAAAAAGAGATTGGGTTTAAAAATAAAATAATTAAGCAGCATTGGAACTCTCTGATAAGGAATTCAAAAGAATTATCTTTAGGTATCTTCAAAGGATTGAGAGACAGACCAAAGAAAACACAGAAAA